ACTTCTAATAAAAATAGATTAAATATATATATATATTTATACTGGGTAAGGAAACAGAAGTTTAGTCTCTCCTAGTCACAAACTCATTCTCTCTACTCACAACATCTGGTTTTAGAACAGCACACATCACCATCACAGCTCTAGTGAGAAGCTATTTATAGGGCTCGGTCGGGGACGTGCCATCGCGTGGCCGCTGTCTCCCAACGGGACTTCATGATTGGTCGCAGTCAAGTTTTCTGTATTCCTTAGTTTTAGAAAACCCAAAATCCTCAGGAATGGCTCAATATCAAAAGGTGTTTGTACAGACCCACTGCAATAAAAAACAGAAAGGAAAAGGAAAAAAAAAAAAGACAAACCCTCCCCAATTTGGTTCGATTCCGTTTGTTCCGGGCTGAGCCACCGCAGCTGCACCACAATTCATCAAACACGTGCAACTCTGGGGAAAATATTCTCTTCTAAAAGCACAACCACTTTACAAGATTAAAAGTCTAGTACGTCTCTAAATATTATTCATATTGTACAAGTAGTGGTTGTTAATTTAAAACTTCATTAGTAAAATTACAGTACAAGCATGATTAACCTCCAGAATTGCAAATCCCAGACTCCAGTGGAAAGCTACATTACATCTTCAGTAGTTTATTCTCTTCCACTTCACTCCCAGACCAGTGGAGATGGTGGCATCTCGGATGGCTGAGCAACCGTGGAACTGCAACGCAGGCGACACAGAAAATCAGTGTTCACTTGCAAGGGCTCGTAGACACCACAGTTAATGCTGGAGCAGACACTGCCGGGACAGCAAACCCACCAAACCCAGCCCTGGCCCCAGAGCCACAGGCAACCACCAAGTCCTCCACCACATCTCCTTGTTGGCTTAACGGGTTTCCACCCGTCGGTCCTGCCTCTTACTGGTTTTACAGTGCAGTTCTGCAACCAATCTCTCAATTCTCATGTTCAGCCCGAATTCTGTGCTTCTACACAAAGATATTACTTGGCACATTTTACTTAAATTCTAGGAGAATTCATTAAAATATCCTATAATGTAACCACACAAAGGTGGTTGGTTTTTTCCCCCCAGAAGTTATCCATGGGCCTTTCCTACTCTCAGAAACTTAGAACATACAACATATCGGATGTGCGAATCCTGTACTACTAATAAATGTGTATTAATATCAGATGTGATTACATACAGTTACCTAATAAAGCTCTTAAAAGCAGCAGACTGAGGGTTGATGCAGAGAGGCACTCTGTTTCCTTTCTGCTGTTCCAAAATGAACTGATGAATAATTTCTGTACATAGGAGAAAAATAAAAAACACCACAGGATTAACACTTTGCTCCAGTGAAATGCAGAGGAGGCTGGAGGGAAACGGAGCTTCCTCTGCTGGAAGTACACTTTCATAAGGATAAGAGAATTCCAGGTTCTCTGAATCGAATCCGATGCCAGACCTCACCACAGGGACTCACACAGAACTCTTCTGTGCACACTGAAATAAAGTTATATGAAATAACGCCCCAATGAACACTGTAACGCTGCCCTGGTGATAACCAGTTATGGGTTAAATCCCAATTTTAGGGTGTAACTAATGGCAGGTTTGGCAAGGGGCTGCTCTTCCACAAGCAGCTGCGATGGTGCCAGGATCGAGCTCCATGCAATGGAATTGTTTGTCAGGAACTGCTGAGGTAACACATTTCTTCTCCCTCTCTTCCTCTGGAGTTACTCGAGCTGCCACAAACCAGAGCCCAAATCCCTACCACTGCTTCTCCTATCACGCTGCTCTTGTTAAAGCTCTGCTTTCCTCACTGGATCTGGTTTCAAAGGCAACAAAGCCTGTTTTATGGCCTGTTTGCTATGATGGAATCAGGCTTCAAATCTCCAGGGCCACAAAGCAACTGCTGGCATTTAGTAACCATCTGTGGCAGCAGCTTCCTCTTCCAGGGAGCAGGACTGATTCTCCTCATTTGACCTGACTGACAGGAGGCTGCACATCCTAACCACATGCTTGTAAGGGATAGAGCAGGAAGGTAACTGCAGATGCAAAGTTAACTACGACTCACCTTTCACCTGCCGAACAGAACTGAGGTTCTTCTCAAAAGTGTCATCGAACTTGGGGTTAGTGATGGGTTCAAAGTCACTCGTATAAACTCTTCCAGTAGATGTGGAGAAACAACATTTACACATACAAGTGTGGTATCGCAACCGCCCTTCATCGAGGTACGGGTGGGCTAAGGCATCCTTAGCAGATATTCTTTTGGACTGAAATACGGCATTGGAGGAAAACAGATCAGTTAGAATGTCTGCAGAGGCGTTGAGCAGTCTAAAGAACACTTGCTCATCAATTAACCCTGACTTGGTTTATAACCCCCCGATCACGTTAAAGGATTGGCTCATGTCAGGAAATGTTCTGGAGCTGCAAACCCCGCCACTAGAGGGGAGGTTCTGCTTAGAAACCAGCAGCAGCAGCAGCAGCAGCACTGCGCTGACTCCGACCTTCCTGTGCCAGAGCTGGTGACAGAAGATGCTGCTGATGGGATTTTCAGAGATGTATTTTTCAACAGTTATTTCCTCCAAATAACCTTCAAATTCTGACTCCGTAAATCTAAACAAGCCCAAAGAATTTAATGTTGGCAAACACGGCAGTTTGCGGGTCTGCAAAACATTCCAGTGTGTCCTCAAGACATATTTAAAGTAAAACACAAATCTGAGCATCACTGATAACGGAGTAGTTCAGGATACGGCATCTGGAGCTCTAAAAAACACTTTGACATCGAGTTGCAGAAGACAAGGGGTGAAGGAAGCGCAGGGGGCAGAGCAGTGGCTGGAATTACAAAAGCTACTTGCACATTACTAAGAGGGTTTTTTGTGCATAACCCGAGCAAAGGATAAGTCAAAAAAGGAGAACTCTGTCTGTGAGGACTGGGGTAGAATTGCTACCGAGAGTCTGTAACGAAATCCGTTGACATAGAAAGTTACAAAGCAAAAGCAGTGGCAAAGGAAATGGAAGGAAAACCCACGTGTCCCAATTCCCAGGGTATGTTTTAGACTCAGCTCTGCTAAAGGATCACGCCCAGTCTTTAAAACACAACCCCCCATGTGTTTAAATGTGATTTGGGAACACCAGCACTGGAAGTGTTGAGGGAGAAAGGAAACTACTGAAGTTTGTTGACGTGGAAGTTATGTTTTAACATTTCTGCGTTTTGTGCAGTAAAACAATCTGAAGGTTTAAAATAATAAAGCCAAGGGGGCAGCCTTCTGAATGCTCCATCAGGTACCAGCTCCCTCCTGTGCAGCACGGCCAACCTGTCCGGCTTTCATTTGAAATGGGGGGGTCTGTAGGAATGGAATAACCATCAACTCCACTGCCAGTTTTGTACCGAGAGAAGAAACCCACAATCCACAGCAGCTCATTTTCATTAGCAAAGCAGATGCTCAGTGGAAAGCGAGATCCTGTTATGTGACTGTGCGGATGCAGAAGGAATTTTGTGTGTGTTGCAAGACCACGAACACCCACGTGTCTCCAATTAGAACAGCAGCAAAGAATCCGATGTTCTGCTACCTACACCTCGCTGGGAAAAGCGAGCGTGAGTCACCAACACCCTCATCTTTCACACCCTGTCGCAGCTTCCTTCAGAAGACCAATAGGTTTTAAATGCAAACCCCCTATTCCAGGGGGGAATTAAGTGACCCATTACAAGGTGATACTTTTATGTCTTTTACGGACCAAAAGCACTAAAAAATGCACGTGGAAGAAATCAGTTAAAGCAGTTCTTTACCTCAAATACTCATTTAAGTAGCAGGCAACGAGAAGCGTTGAAACAAACAGTATTAGAAATAATTTTAAATCATACTTACTGGATCAAAGACCAACATTCTGCAAAGGAGATGAACTGCTTCATGTGTAGCTTGACTGGAAAGTGTATATAGGACAGGAAGAGATGGCTGTAGGGGAAATGGGAGACAGAAAATACAGAGAGTTGTCCTGTCAGATCCATCAGCAAGAGAACGCTGTTACCACCCGTGTTATTTTACAGCTACCAAGGACAAACTTCCTGTTGAAAAGGACGTTTGCTGCCTAACGCTTCCCAAAGAGACAAAACCCACTATTACAAAACTCAGCAATTCTACTATGGATCTAATTGATTTTTTTGCCTTAGTTCAGATGCAGTCCTTGAACAAACCTGTATTTTGCTCAGGGGTTCGTTAACCCCATCGTTTCCAGTATTCCATTTCTCTGATCTTGGTCACTGCCAAATTGTGGATTATTTTGCTTTTCCTTTCCCCGGTGATCCACATCTAACTGACAGTGACATCCACCACAATTAGAACGACCTTCAGGCATTCAGCGTTCTACATACACAGGCCAGGACCAAGGCTTGGGGGTCTGGGGGAGCAGGAGGGGGTTCATTGGCCTCCCCCTGCTTTATGAACCATGTGGTTCGCAGAAGCTGGAACAGCCCAGAAGCCGGGGGCAGCAGCGTGGCTCTTGCTCTGGTCAGCCCCACAAACACAGCTCTGCAGATCAGCTTCCTCCCGTTATTTCCTCGCTTTGCTCACACTCACGACAGCCTGAACATCTGAGAGCTTCCAGTTTTAGCTGAGAATGAAAAGACCTTATGGATTCATCCATATACTGGGGCAGAAAGACAGGCTGGCGTTCCTTACTTACAGATCTTGCACTCAATACAAATAAAGATGCACTTCTGCTACACTTAAGGCCCTTTTCTGCCATTCCAAGAGCACGTGGTTGTACATGGCTTTTGGGAACAGCCTGTTCTTGACAAATTGCAGTGAGGTCCAAAGCTGGAGATCAGAGACAGCCCTGACATGGATCAGCGGTTGGGTCTAATAGCAAGCCAGGTGCATCCTTGTGGATCTCTCTCTTCCATAGAGAATCCAAGGACCACAACAGGGAGGGAATGAACTCCAACACGTTCTACTTTTAGAAGTGGGTCAGCCCCTGACTGCCAGGGAACTCCAAACCACTCCTTAAGGCACATGGGAATGTGGGAGGAGACGCTCCTCCTCCTGCCCCAGTCGAGCAGCGCTATCAGTCCACTTAAATGGAGTTTGAAGTGAATGTTTTAAACACAAAACTGACAAAGAAGTCTGTGTGGCTTGTAAACCTCCCTGCTGGCAGCACACACGGGGTGTGGGGTTGTAACCAGGAACGTCAGGCATTAATCTATTTTTACATGAAGCAGCAAAATGCTTCACCCCCCAACTCCCACTGTGCTCACCTACATCGCTTAAAAATAGCTTGTGCGACAGAGTGATCGCCACTTCTAACTTGGTTTTCTCTCCCTATTAATCTAATAAAGAAACTGGTAACATTTAGATATTTATAACCAGCAAAGCCTCCATTTCAGAAGATGAAAAGCCATGAATTTGCATTCAAACATGAAGTGTGCTTGGGGCTGAAACCAGAGAAATGCCATTCAAGAGATCACCTCGCTGCACCATAACCCCCTATTTCCAAGCTGCAAACGAGCTCCAGAGACTGCTCAGCTCCTGTGGCATTCCATGGAAAATGAATGTTGTTTTCCTCAGCAAACAGAACGAACTGCTTACAGTTTATTTCCTATGAGCATTAAATCTATATTGGAAATGTTTTATGCCATTTCACCTCACTTGCTTTTTAGTATTCCCATCATTTTGTGGGTCAAGAGACAAATGATTTTGGAGGCTTGTGCAAAAATAGTCTCAGCATGGGGATGAGAGAATCAGAAGACATTTACGTACCCACTTCAGTTCTTGATAAAACATCCTGGTTTAACAAATGGAACGAAGCTAATAGAAAATTCCAGAGTTCTGGCTTACTGCTACCAAGAGCACAACTCCTGCGCTTTGGAAATGTCAAACAATCATCAAACCATCAGAATTTAAACCAACGTATTCTCTAAAGCAGGTGGATGTGTTTGTATACTGTTGCATGTCTGTATATGTCAGTACAGTGGATGCACTTCTCCCACCTTCAGTCGCTATAAAACTTTTCTTCTTCTAAACACCTCAAGCCTTGTAAGTGCAGCACTACAGAGCACTACAGAGCACAGCTTCAAAGTTACAACTCCTCTAGCAAGTGATAGCAAAAAAATACACTTGATTTGTTTTAAAACTAGAGAAAGACTTCAGGAAACCCTCCTATTATTAATGTTAACAGAAAAAAACCTGTCATAAAATGGAATAGAGACAACTTGATGTAGTGAATCCAAAGTGCCAAGGCAGCAGAACTCCCACAAGTTAATAATAGAGCAGAATATACATTCAATGCTCATCTCTATGGTAACTACTATTGTGGTGAGTAGACATCTGAGAACTTACTTCAACATAAAGATGCAAACTTAACTGCTGGAAAGATCTGATGTCTTCATTAGTACAGGTTATTCATTTGGTTAGTTTTTAGTAACAGTCATAAAAATGACCATATTGGATGGACCCATTGCTTTACTACTGCCCTGTGATTCTATGCCTTCCTGCCCAAGCATTTCTTTGGACCTTTTAACAGTACATCAAGCCCTGCCACTGCTACACCACAGCCACCTTTGGTGAATTCAACCTGGTTTACAGGCAGAGACAGCTCTGACATTAAATATCCGAAGTATTTAAGAACAAACATGCCACGAGAATTCAAGCGCGATGTGAAACAGTGCAATGTGCTGCAGTAGTTCCCTGCACAGAGGAGATGCTGACTGATGGGGGCTGATGGAAGGACTGTCTTGACTGAGGTGAAGGTCAGGCATCCCCAGCTATACCTGTTTATGAGGACCCCTGAGTATATGTGCCTTGGCGCCTTCACAAGCCGTCCTCATCGCTTCCAGTGACGGCGTTCCCAACAGGTCTGTGATCAAATCCAACTGCAGGTACAGAACACAGACATCTGAGACCTCCGACACATTAGACACGTCACTACGACAGCGGATTCTTAAGTTAACGTGAGTTACACTTAAGGCATGAAAGGTCACAAGAAAAACCACTGGAAACAATTTTCCCAGCGAGCTCCTGAAAGTTCCTGTTTAACACCTCTCAAGGTAGAAATTCTCGTCTCAGCCCCTGCACTTCCCACGTGCTCGGGAAGAGGTTCACCACGAGGCCTGATTTCATTATCTAGATGCATGTCAGCAGCATTCAACGTGGGGTTTATAAAGTATTAAAAACCAGATTTTGAATTTTCAGTGTTAAAACAGACAATTCTTACCAAACATTGATTTTGAATTTAACTGACCTCCTCTGGGCATACGCCATGAACCACTGAGATTAAGTTACTAGTTCAGGACAGAAGGAATCTCTGTATCTCCACTTACATCTTGACAGAAAACTTGCTACTTTCTCCTAATAGTTGTCACAAAAAGCTTGATCCCGGTTGTATCACCTCTACCTTATCTCACTGACATGCTACAGGCGGCTTTGGAACTGCAGCGGATTACAGGGGATTACAAAAAATTACACATTGCAGAAGCTCATGTGAATAACCACTGCTTTCAGCACTGCCTGAAGCCACCACTTCAGATTTCAGAGCAGCTTGGGCTTTCGCCTGTGTGTAAACCAAGCAACACAAAAGCGAGTTGGAGGTTCAAAAGGCACCAGTGTAACTGATTTCGTGAAATGATGCAGTAAAACAACGCTAAAGGGAAATCTGATTATACCTGCTGGATGGGACTCTGTGCCTGAAACAATATTCTTCGCCCAAGTAACTCTGCAAAGATGCAGCCTACAGACCAGATGTCAATAGCATTGCTGTAGTGGCGGCTGCCCATCAGGATCTCTGGAGCTCGGTAATACTGGGTGACAACTTCCTGAGTCATGTGTCGAGATTCATCTAACTCTTCCACCCTGGCCAATCCAAAATCACAAATCTAAATTGAGAAGGTAAATAAAAAAATTGAAATAACCAAAACATTTAATGCATTTCAAGTAGGTAACCTTCTGGTAACGCAGCAGGGAATTCCGAACCAGCATTTAAATAACCAGTTATCTGCTGTAACTGCATAAGCAAAGGGAAAGGGGAATGGGAGGAAATTATGCTACTTCATTCCACATCCACTTAAGCTTTCTATAATTTTATTTTATATTACAGTCCATTTTTAGTTGACGTTACAGTATTTATCATCTCAGAGATTAAAAACCTCTGCACTAAAACACAAACAAACAGATATTGCCAACCTCTGGGTACAGAGAATTTCATCCCAAACCAGATTTCATTGTTCCTGAGATGCCTCAAATGTTACAGAAAGATTCAGCCTCTGCTCACTTGGGAACAGACCCAAGCTATCACGATCAGATGCTGAGCAAAGCAGTGCAAACAAACCTGGTTTTTTTAATATATATTTAGCATGCCTGTATAGTTTTTAAGGAATCTGTGGGATTTTTTTTCTTTTAAAATGACGTTCAGGAAAGTGTTCACATTAAACGTTTTTACTTAAAAATTCACTCTGGGTTTGTAATGAACAGCAGACATATTATGGACATTTTCAATAAAGTTAAGTAGCACCTTCAGAACACAGTTGCTGTTCACAAGTAGGTTCCCTGGTTTAATGTCTCGATGTAAAATGCCAGCAGAATGGAGGTATTTCAGACCTGAAACATTAAACAAAATTGCAGTAAATACTTTTTTTCCTTTCAAAGACGTTGAAGGCTGAGCCCAGGCTCTTGCTGCTCTGTAAGTTACCCACGGCTATGACAGGAGGCAGCAGTGCTGCGATGTTCTTATAACTTGTATAACTAATGCTTGCTATTCATTCATAATATGAAATAAAAAGAACAAGTTTCCACGGGAAACTTACTCAAGTTGAGGATGTCTCCAGAATTACCATTAAGAAACAGAAAACCCCCCAAAACTACTGTTACATAGTTTTCATTGAATTGAAAAGAAGAAAAATTACCTCTTAAAATCTGGTAAAGAAAAACTTTGACATGATCCGAGCTGAGCGGCTGAGGAGAGACGATAATCTTATGGAGGTCACTCTGCATCAACTCAGTGACAACATATCTTCAGTTTATGAGTTAAGGCAAAAGCAGAAAGTTCAGCACATAATCTCTTGAAACATTTACTCTTAACTCCCAGGAATCTGAGCTCTCCCAGGTCAGAGCTATCGAGTGAACGAGAATAAAGATTCCTCAGAGCTCAAGTCTCCAGACTCTTACAAGAATGAAAATGAAAAACGGGTCGTGAAAGAAGAGATGACTCAATGAAGCAGCGTTTGCATTAGGGTGGTTGTTACAGAATCATTCCAAAGTCAAATTACAACTCAAAACATTAATTAATATAATTAATGACATCTTGAATCCTTTAGGTTTTTTCTTAAGATCAGTAAACCATAAATAATGAACAGCTGAAGCAGCATCTTCTCAGTGGACATCCATCAACATGGTTTAACCAGCTGAACGGGCAAGTGCCCATGGGTGAAGGTCTCTTACCACAGGTACCTTTCAGGTCCCTCCACGAGCAGCAACCGAGACTTTGAAAATCACATATGCTTCCCTAAACCTACCCAGCACCCATTATTTTACCTCCTCAAGCATCACATCTGCATGCACACAAATCCCAGTGATAAACCCTCTTCTAACAGCAGAAGAGAAAAAAAGCCCAAACTTCTCTCTGGAGAAAAAGCTAAAAAACCAGCACCCACTATTTCATGTACTCAGGGATGTGCAGAACACAGCGATGGTCACAAATACTGGCAGGGACAAAGAGTTGTTTATGCTGTGGCTGATGCTAAGGTAAGGAGAGGATAAAGCAGGGCACTGAAGAGTCACACCAAGCGCTGCCACATTCAAACAGACAGAAGTGCAGCAGGGAGGTGGTGCACACTGCCAAGGTTGTGGGGAAGATCAAGGAGAGAGTGAGAAATAAACCTGCATCTCCTGGGCCCCAGTCTAGTCTCTCCCTTGGCGCCCCAGGTTCATTCTCAGTTCAAGGTAAAGCAGCAGCTGAGTTTGCTTTGGCTTTACATCTCCCCATTATCCTGCAGCAGCCTATCAGCTGGTTCAGTGCTCTTTATAACCAGCTACACATCAAGCCTGAAATGTAACAGCAAACCCTGACTTCAGTCAAGATCCTTATCTCGTGTAACACAGCAAGTCAGCTTCAGCTGAAACTTCAGCCACTTCTTACCTTTATCACCGATTCATTGGCACTCACAACAACCTAGAGAAAACTCCAGTTTTCCTTCACAATGTTCTACTTCCATCTGTTGCTCCGCAAACCCTCTCCGGCCAAGTCCCCATCAGCCGAAGTGTTCATCTGCCACCAGCACGTCACACGAAAACTGATTTTATACCTTAAATATTGCCAACTTTTTGACCAAACCCAGAGCAAATTAACATTGCATTCATGAAGAATTCATGAGATAAAAGCCAACCCTGCAGCACCGTAATTTCGAGTCCTCTCATTTCTCTCTTCCTCTTGCAAACGCCCTCTTAAATATTTATACCAGCCTTTTACATTCTGTTTTTTACCTTGTGGCTGCAACAAATCTTTATGTTTCACTGTTAATGTAAAATACTGAAGATAATCCTGAAGCATTACTCTGCACTTTATTCTGATCAGATTTTTGTTGCGCTACGCCACAAATCCCCCTAAATCTCAATCCCGACATAATGTCTCCCAGATGTCTCAACTAGTTGCCATGCCAACTAAAGCAGCTTAAATTAAATGAGGGCCTGAAATGGCACCTGCACCACTCCAGGTCTGTTGCGCATTAAATAAAGCTCTCTTGACAGGGGCTCTGAGGTGCCATTAACTTGAGCAGCAGCTATCTGATTATTGTCTCTAGATAATTTAATGAGGGTCTCGAAACGAGCAGGAGCAGCACTGGCTCCATGTTCCTGCCTGTTACAAACAGTAGGTACCAAGCAGGTCAATCACTTTGCTCCAGCCAGTATAAACGTTTAGCAAAACCAAACCACGAACCCCTCTGGGATTTCAAGCCATCACTCAAACAGGTACCTGCGCTTTTCTTTCTTAAGTCGACCCATAAAACGTGCTGGCACTGAGGTGGTCACCGGAGCTGGAACACGCAGCTAAGCTGAGCGCTGCGACCAGAGAGAAATTGCTCCTGACAGCAGTAATTAGGTAAGTAGCTGTATAAAATTAGAACTACAAATGTACCAATTTGCTTTGGAATAATTACCAAGGCAAATGCTGGGACAAATGCTGGGACTTCACTTGCTCTGTTGACTGGGAGAGCTGCTGAGTTGGTAAATCCTGCAAAGTGACGCACACACGTGAAAATGAGATGAAGAACACTCTGTGATCAGTGTCCCCAAAACCACTGGCTCCTGCTTTACCAGCCCTCTGCACACCACAAAACTCAACTCTGTAGCTGTTTTTCTGAGAAGAGGCCAGTGTTCTGTGAACAAATCCAGGGGCTGGTGGAATGGATGCTAAGGGTGGAGCGGAGGTGTCTCCACTGCGTGATACTGAAAACAAAGCTCACAGATTTCAGTATTTTCTATAAATAGGGACAAAGGGGTTTCTCCTATTTTAGTAGACATCAGTGATACCTGTTTTTACATTAGCATCACAGAAGCTATATTTGTGATGCCACCTCTGTTCTCTTGTAACTCTTTGCAGACTTCATTGCTTCCATGTAGAAATATTTCTATAATATCCTCATTTTGTATCGACACCCAAAACATGGAAAAAAACACGGAAAAAAAAGACCTGGCCCATGTAAAAATAGTGCAACAATTGTTAAAAAAAAAAAATTAATCTAATGCCTGTCGAAATTATTTTTTAAGTTATGTTTGTTTGATGTTTAAAATTTGGTGACTTTTCTGCTACAGGTAAAACTACTGATATAAGTGTATTTGCCACCAAGTCACCTCTACTTGTGCTATGCAGAAATGGCAATCTATGGCATGTGTCCCAGAGCACAGACAAGCACTGGCAGCAGCTTTTGGAGGCACTTTCAGTGCACAGTGGGGAAAACATTTGCAGTTCCAGGCAGTATTATCCAACCAGCTTTTGCAGAAACTGGACTAAAGGTATTACAGTCCTACTGCTGAATACAGCAGGATTTTAACCCAAGGCAAAGGAGCCTCGTGGTGCAGAGAACAGCCACTCTGGCACAGTTCATCCCAGCAGACATCTAGGATAGTCCCTCAGGCACTTCTCTGTTTGACAATGACAGCACCACGCTTGCATTACCTGCACAAAGTACATCAAGCCATGCTGCTCTCATGCGTATCTAAGTGAGAATCTAAGTCACAATCCTGCCTGACCCAGCACTATAAACTGTTGTGTTACCAGCTGCAAATCAGCAACCCACAGCCTCCCACAGAGGGTACTAATCCTCTTAATCCTTGAGGTCCTCGTTTGTGTGTTGGCCCAGAGGAACCTGCCGTGACGACATTTCAGATGAGCACTTCAACAAGGGAACTCTTTCTAAGGATACTGTGACAGAACAGGAAACCTGAACTTACCCTCCTTGGTCCCCCAACAGTGTGGGCATTGTCCCTTCTACTGGCTGCAGGAACCAAATCTTACCTTGTCCCTACCTACCCTCCTCCAGCCCACATATATGAGGGATTTACTCCGTAATCTGCCAGAAAACAGTTCTTTCACCTCTTAATAAGATCAATGGGAAGGAATTACTGCACACCTTTGCTTCTACTGGTATTTAAACCTTTCCTAGTCAGTATAATGAGGGTGACAAAAGTGATGTCTTCTCAGCTGCTTCTAATAGTCGCTTTCATGGGAAAAGTTTTCAGAAAGTTACTATAGAAACTTAGGATAGTTCTTAAAAGAAAATGTCTGTGTTTATCCAGGTGCAGATTTCAGTATTAAAATCAATTGCAGAAGTTTTTGTAATTGGAGAAGAGAGAGCTATAAACCACAGAATCACAGAATCATTTGGGTTGGAAAAGACCTTTAAGATCAGAGTCCAACTGTAAACCTATCGCTGAAAGTCGGTTCAGTCAGAATTAAGAGATATGTTAGCTGGAATGAAACACTTCTCAGATGCTCTACCAAAAGCTGAGTCACTCTTTATCTCTGTAAGCCATGTGCTTTAAAGCTAGGCCAGTCCACGCAGGGAACCAGGCACACAACAGAACCAGACATCATCCAAGCTCGTGTATGCTTCTCTTCCACCAAAGTGAATTGATGATTGCAGGGATAAGCCTTGAACTTCAGCTTAATGATGAACTTAATGATGAACATAAAAACATAAAGTTCACCAACAACCTCTTTTTCATTTATTTTATCAAGGCAACACTCAGAGTAACATATGCTCCAATATCTACTCCTTTTTGCACTAGGTATATTGTCAAAAATACCAATATCTGTATAAGATGCTAAATGCTCACAAAGATTTTTCTACCTAAAATGTCATTATACATTCACATAATACCCCAGTCTAAGAGCTTGCAAAGAATTTTCATTCTAAACCAAAAACCTCACTAGATTTTAATTTCTTTATTCTGATGAATTTAAGAGTCCTAAGTGCACTTACTGCAATTATTTCAAAAGAAAGGAGAGAGAAAACTACACAAAGCAAATGGTCTTCTATTACCAACCTGAGGCAGGAAATTCAAACAACTTGAAACAGGACAGCCCTATAAAACTAGTCAGAATGACTTAAAATCAGTTAACCATGAAGGAAACCAACATTTTGGGTTTGTATTCAAACCTTGGCAGTAGCTGAGCTCATAAAAATAAGCTTATCCCGTTTAAATATTCTTGATTGTACAATTACATGGAAGTAGTAATCCTTAACCTAGATCTGATTTATAACTCATATGACTTGTTATAAAATGAGGCCATTGAACTAGTGCTAATAACCAAGATCCAGTTTTTGAGGACTACTTATATGCTGTTCATATGCAAGAAAATTCAAAGCAGAATTTAAGAGCTTTATCTAAACTTCATACAAAAAGCTCTAGTTGAGCAATATTCTGAACCAATGAATTTGGTGATCAATGAGTAAATCACGCTGTACTTCAGTTAAAATGACCGAGTTTAAAATGCGCCTACTTTCTTCTCCAATCCATTCAAGGTGTTATAAATAGATCAAACCATATTTCACAAACATCAGTTTATCTAAAAATAAAGAATGACAATTTCCCACCCATTAAATGTCTTGTGAAGTGGGTCATACAAAACAGCAGCAAAGACCCATCAGTAATTAAAAACCAACCTGCCAAAGTCTAACCATGACAGTTTAAGCTGGTGCACCCAAAGCCCCACTGGAGACTGACACCAACATAATAAAGTCACTTGCAAGTTAAGCAGAACAGACGATGTGGACACCTGTGGGACAGGGCCTTACATTTCTATAAACCTTTACTATGCATCCAGGTAACAGAAAAAGCTCTCGGGTCCCAATTACAACCGTATTAAACCGATACAATTTTAGAAACTAAACCCAAATCCCCCACCAGAACACTTTTGCACACGTTGTCAGGTGAACACTGACTGGCAGGGGTTTTAGTCACGCTTACAACAGCCATGTCATTATGCCCTGCCTCGTTCACAGAGGTTTTGGTAACAATTTTGGGTTTGGGAAGTTTTTGTTTGCACCATTTGGTTGTGAATTCTCAACTGGAAAGACAGTGGCTGAAGCTGTGAAAGGAGCAGCAGTGCAATGAGACTACACATAACTGAATATGCTTCAAGTGAATATGATTCAAGTGTTCACTTCCAACAATTCAGCACGGAGTTTAATTTGCAGTGTTTGCTTTTGGGCTTTTCCACAGAAAGCACAGCAGTCTATTAGCTGACCTCAGCTGCATGGCAGATCCCTGGACTGAAATGCTAATTTGATAATGGAAATGTCAATGTGTTGGGATATTTGATTATCTGCTCTCTAAAATACCACTTTTACTAAGGTCTCCAAAGGATATTTTGTTACTAACAGCACGTTGTAAAAATATCTGAACAGTTCATAAAACTCTGCAAATAATCTTAACACTGTTTTGGGCAGGAGTCTGGTGAAAAGATTTTTTTCCTACACACATAAGAAATAAAATATAAACAAATAATCTCATTCAGCGCAAATTACAAAGTTAATTCATTTTTTATTAGCTAAAAAAGGTCTCAAAAATGACTCTCAGCATGTTGAATTTTTAAAACAGCATAAAGAGGAGAGCAGACAGTGGGATTAATCCAGGCAGAAAACCTTTATTGGGATTCCTGGTCTGTAGCTAGTAGAGTCTCTGCAGAGAACAGAATTACCCCTATTTAAAATACTTCTTTGTTCTGAATCTCACACTATTTCTAGATGCTTTCTGTACCATATAAATCTGTACTTAACTCATTGCAGTAGTGGAAGTTCTTGCAATTTAAAAACTGGAACAACCTGCTTCAAGCCACAGAACTTCTCTTCCAACCAGTCAGTAAGAACTCGCCCTGCTCAGTGACTGAATTTTCAGTATTTAAGAATGCTGAAATTGCCAACCTCGAACCCAAAGATAACCCCAGGTTTGCAAAGGGAGCGAGCCACGACATTCTCATGTCAAGTTATGGTCTAAAATCCAGCTTGATAAGTTACCCACAGACAATGTGCACCTTTGCATCAGTGACACGTTAAACAGCACATCTGTCGGTGTGAAATCTGTTTTCCTGATCAAGACAGAGGCTGAACAAGGAAAGCCATAACCCAGCTACTCTGCTGAAACGTCTCTGAAAAGTCACGGTCTCAAAGCATGTGTCAGTAGCGCTCTGAAAACACCAGGAAGTATTTTAAGGCACTAATAACTGAGAAGAAGTTAATGACTGTTTTGGGGGGAGGCTCCATGAGTAGCAGCAGTACCTGTTGGTACATACCACGATGCCCTGCATTTACTGGCTCTGACATCCTCAAAGCTTCACGTTCAATCCTGCACCATTTCACCTCGGACTTTAATAAGAGTTCTTGATAGTATAGATTCACTTCTTTAAATAAAACTGTCCAGGTACAGACTCAAGGGTTTTGTAGCTCTATTTCACAGATTCCACCCACTAGTTGCAGTTCCCAAGCTAATGAGAATTACACCTACCTCAATTAAGATGCTCTATTTTATATTTAGGATACATTTCTTCAAAATAGTCAATGTGTGGAGGCTGGAGTATGTCGAGGGCAGAGAGTACCTAGGAAACACCACACAAGTCAAGACCCATCCCAGTCAAACAAAACCAAACCCCTTTCAAAGAGACACTCGGATTGTACCTCTCTTACAGGGCTTTGTTCTATTCCACACAGACAGACCACCACTCTGTGTGCCAGATCTGTGAATTTAATAGCCCAGCAAGTCAGATATTCTGTACATTCAGGGTGTCCCTCTCTGTTAATTCAAGAAACTTTTCCCAGCTGTTCAGGTACTAGCTTAAAAGCATTAATTTGTCTACCCAATACAAATCGGTTTATTTCAAAGCTGATACAACTATAAAATATTTGAAAGAAGAAATTCTAGCAAAGAAATGCAAAAGCAAAAGACATTACACTTTGTGCCTTTCATCTTATTTAAGAGTTCTGCTTCCACATGGGAATTACAGAAAACAAAGTTGTTCACATTCTGAATGAGAAGCTCAGCTCTTTGTGCAAAGTAGAAAGGTAGAAAAGCAGCAGCTCAGAATTTACACCCACTCACAGGAAAAAATACTGGACTGGTGACAGTGGGGGGGACACTCTGCAGACTGGTACAAGCTGGCTAAGCAGTCCACCTCTTTTGCACCACTGACACCACCAGTGAGCTAAATCCAGTGCTAAACCACAAATAAAATCTTTCTTGGAATATGATACCCTCAAGATACAAAAAGGTAAACTTCAAAACAGGAGAAATAACAGATCCCTGCTTCCTGACCCCATTCTGCTGGGAGAAGATAGTACTTCCAACACACTCATTAATGCTCATCAATGGGGAGGTTACCACATCCACAGCTGCACTCTTGCCACTCCACTAGAATGGAGAGAGCAGATAGAAAAGGCAGGGAGGGGAAGGTGGAGCAAGAAATAGCTTGGAAGCGAAAGCATCTCCAGCTGGCACAGCTTTGTGCAGACTGACATTTACCTAAAGCCTAAAATAAGATTAGGTGCAAGTGTCTTTGTCTGTTTGCAAACATTTTGGAAGGGCAATTATGAATATCCTTAGATTCTTGATAATTCCATTTTTGATAGTGTTTGCAATGGTAACACCCGAGTTCCAAGAAATGTGCTAATCATGAAATTAGAGAGCTTTTAAAGCATTTTACATATCCTAGAACTTAAAAGAGACTTCTGTTACAGACAGCTCCATTTTACAATTAGGCTCTATCAAAGACTTCAAAATTACTTTGAATTTACTTACATTGTCATGCTTAAAAAAACACAACATCTTCAACTCCCGGAAGACCCTTTTACAAGAGACCAAATTTTGGAAGACGTTGGGCATCTTTTTGAGTGCAACTCTCTTTCCATCCCGTGGATCTGTTACTGACCTATGGAATAAAAGATTCAGAACATCACAAACTACCGTTAGACAATTCTTCTAAATCAGAAAGTATTTTAGAGTTCTCATCATTCTCAGTTAGACGGTGAGTCAAAACAATGTGGAGACACTTCTAGGGACAAAAGCAACAAGCAAAGGGCATGATGCACCATCCTGCAGAGCCTGCGTTGAACGTGTGATTGTTCCTTCATTAGAAGCATGTACACATGCACCCAGTCAGGCTGCTAAGTGGCTGGACAATGTCCATCAGTGCACAGACTGCCTGCCACTGCCGTGCACTGCAGCTGTGAGTCAGATCAACACCTCGAGCCAAGGAGTGATCTCCTTCAGCTACCAAAACCCACCTTATTAAGATTAAACCATTTTCTCAGTTACACAGATTTGATTTGTCAGACCTACTGCCTTCTTCTTCCTCTCCTAAGAGGGCAAAAACTGTAATAATCCCATCCTGACAGAACACTGGCAACTATAAGACTATTACTTGATCTACCACTAAATGACTTTACATCTGGAGAAGCAACAGCACGTGGTATCTAAGTTTCCTCAAATGTAATCCAGGCGTTCTGCCGTTCTCTCACAGAGCTTATGCGATACAAGTATAGTAGTTCAGAAATTACAAGGTGCTTTCACATGGCAAGTATTTTAATTTAAAGTAATTAGATTCTGAAAATAGAATTTTATAATGAGAACCATAAAACTAGAGCAAGGAGATTATGGTGCCTCAATTCCCAATCACAGTCTTTAAGGTGGGGCTTCTCAAACCTCACCACAGAACAGGGTTTCTAGAACTTCAGTTGACAGGGAACCATTTTTTGCCTGCATATTTTTATTGGAATGACCAAAATAACTTTTTTCTCAGTGCAATGCCATAACCACTAAGAATCCACATCCAGCTATGTACCCTGGTGACTACATTTGTCCTTAACAAGTCGCTGGCTTTTCCATCATGTAACTCCCCTGCAAATCACATGGAAGGGTTCTTTTTTTGTCTGAACGGAATCTGAACAGGTCTTCTAATTCACAACATGTTTCCTGTTTTCTCCACGAACTTTGCCTCTTGCCTTTAGCCCATGTTGGAAAGAAAGGGGATGAAAACTGGAAGCACTGCAGCAAACCCTGTTAGTGCAACTCAGCACTCACCACGGGCCAGCCTGAAACATCCTTCCTCACCCTATAGTAACTCCGTTCCCAGATGATGGTCACCTCAATGCATGTGTCTTCAGAACAAGGTGCTATTCATCAGGAGCAGGCACATTTTGAGGCTGGCCCGTGGCTGTGGGATTCCAGCAGAGGCAGGTTCTGAATGACACACAGCAGGGCCCGTACCAGACGGTGCTCACAGAGTCATAGGGATTTGATCCCAGCATGAGCTGAGCTCCCATTGCTCACGCGTTCAAGCACCACTGATCAGCTAATTAGAGGTGTTCTCACTTTATGAGACAGCAGCTCTGGCCCCTGCCAAGATTCTACCAGCTTGGAAGAGGAAGCCACAAACCTCTAACCTGTAAAAGAAAACCTCAAACCTGCTGGTTCCTGGGAATTAAATAGATATGTTCTTGATCCCAAAACAACCTTGTAACATTTTAGTCACAAAAATCCTCACCAGTTACACTGCAGATGCTACTGAATTACTTATTTTCCCCTTTGGAATTGACACTACCATGTGTTAACATACAAGGAATGCAACATGTCAGAGTCGGCTTTGAAATTTTAGGTGGTTTAACATAAAAATTCCACCCACCGGTTGGACGTGCAATACAATTCACATACCTACAGGAAACACACGGGAAACGGAAGAAGCACCTGAGCAACATGCAGCAATCAATAAAGCCAAGATTCCACTTGGTGGTTTCATTTCTGATCAAGCCTGGGGAATCCTCTGTTTGGTACCCAAGGATTTGGACACGAGCTCTCCCCCCGTGCCAAACATCTCAGAGGTTGTGTGTTTCAGCAGCAGCAACACAGCCTTGGGAATCCACACTTGAGACATTTTGGAGCTATTTTTAATAGCCACCTTTTAAGCGTATTTCCATTTAGAAACTTCCTATTTGCCTTTTTCCAGGTCTCCTAAGTATAAATATTATTGCAGCAACTGACAAGCAAAACACACTAATACCTGTTATTAGCTGGACCAACACCACACACGGTTTCAATGTTTGCGAGTGCCTTGATAATGTTTTGGGTTAAAGCTCACAAGGTACCATTTCTTGTTATTACTCATACCAGGCCCAGCCATGCCTGTAGCTGGTAACAGTATAACCCTAATGACTGTGAGTGGAAGGGCAGTAATTTCACGCCGTGGTGAGTTTGTTCTCTCCCAACTCGGGGCGGCAGCTGCTCGGGCTCAGCACAAGAAGTGCCACAGAACAGACCCAGCTCTTTGCTGCTGAAAGGTTCCTGGATCTGCAGCACAGGGGCTGTCCCATCCCTATCAGCTAATGAGCACCTCTGAGGGCAGCTTCCCATCTCCACTGAAAACCACCCTCTTCAAACGTCCATCTTCATGACCGTTACCTGTCAAACTAAACCTCAACATCAATTATTTAGGTACAGCATGCTTTTAATGCATGTACTAAACAAGCATCTGATTCTTACAGTAACGTATCTGTTTACATAGTTGAAATAAAATGAAATTTAAAGTAAAAACTGCTCACATTTCCATTCTTAGTCTAAACATCAAACTATTAAAAGCTACAACCTACACTCACGTATACTCTTGGGTAGTGCCATATCTCCATACTGTTACCAGAAGACCTCAAAAGGTGTCTTTTTAACTGAATTACAGATTCAAATGCTCACTTCCAATTGTTCCAATGAGCTGTGTTACCAGCAGCAGTGGAGACGACATGGGCCAAGACTGTGAAAGTTACATAAAATATGAATCCAAGACACAAGTTCAGAGAAAGTCATCTCTGGAGTTCCAATAGACAAATGAAAATGGGAAGGTTTGAAGTGGTGTTCACTGTAAAAAGACACTTAAAATAGGATTTTGCATGGATTTGAAACACTCACCTTCATTCCTGGGTAACCCAGGAATACTAAACTCTGTTAAGTCAGAACCTAATCAGGCAGCTGATACAGGCAAACACCAGAGCCCTGCTAATTCCATTAATTCCTACACTTCTCCCATGGATGGAGCTGTCCCACGGCCTCACTAGTGAGAGGGATAGATTTGATAAAAGGGTCGGTCTTTAATCAAACAATCCAGAACTCTGATTTATACTGATAGCTACCACAGATTTACTGATGCTCAATTTTACTCATTGTGGGACCCATTTTCAAAGGAGCTAAATCAGAGCTGTCCAGGCTAATCCCAGCTGTGTAAGCAAGGCTGCTGTGTCTTGCTCTCCTTGTTTCCCAATGCTTCCTTACAATAAAAATTGATGTAGGTGAACAGTCTTTTCCTAGTGCCCCTGCTGCAGTCCCGGTCAAGGAATGAGTTAAGCGGGGTTGCTGTGGCATATGCATTTAAGGCCAGTTCCTTTTTTCTTTTAAATAACCCACTTCCACAAACAAGTAATGATCACCTGCAGTATCCAGCTTGAAAGCAATTCCTCTGCTCTTCCCCCCACAGCTGCAATGATTTCACACTGCTCCTCACCTCCTCGCCTTGGCTTGTGAGCTTTATGCCACTCACCAGCAATTTCACTTCAAGGGGCAGCACAAAACTAACAATCAAAGTTATGAAGATCAGAAACGTCAGGAGTGCATTCCAAGGAAGAAGGAAAAGAAAGAGAGAAAGAAAAAGCCTGTCTGCAAGACATGGTATTTACAGCATCCAATAAAGATGCTGCAAATGTGGCTCTGTGTTTGTGTGCAGTCCCTACTTTGATACTAGTAAAATAATTATTTATAGCAATATTCTATCAGGTCACATATCCCCAAGAGAAACTAGAAAAGCACAAAGATCTCCTAGGAGCTAATTGAGAGAACATCTAGAAAGGCAGCTTTACTTACTGCTGTTCTCAGAACACCACATTTCAATTCCCTCCTCTGCTTTGTTAGGCTATTACACCCTAGGTGAATCTAGCAGTGAAGTGAGCAGCAGGCAGGGAATCTGTCCATCACTCGGCCCGGAGTCAACAGGGAGCTCTTTTCAAGCTACTACTGAAGTCTGCAAAGCTTTCACTTATTAACCATCAACTGCAGATGGGATAAAGGGATAACAGACCACGATTTAAACCAAAAATAACTGGGCAAAAAAATATATATAGGTATGGGGCAAAAAATAAGTTACTAAATATAATTGGGGGGGGGTATATCAAGTAAGATAGTTTAGCTTTAATCATGATGGATGATATATATGATATGGTGGCAACACCAAGACTACTATGGCCAGAATATTAGAGATATCAAATACCTGTATATCTGAACGTGCAGCACAAGACTGAAACGTTCCTCTTGAAACAGTGCCCAATTTTTCCACACACCAAGACTTTGCAAAATCCTTCACGAAATCCTTAAATCAAGTTGAAAGTTAAACTTCCTGTACCCAACCAGGATGCACTATATGTGTTCAGGACTAACGCTGCAAGGCACTTACAGCCCGTCTTGTTTAATTCTTTCAGATCTACTTCTGCATTCACTAATAAATCTAAACCTGGCTCTGGAATGAGCCAGGAATGGGGACTGCATGTCCAGAACCACAGCTGAGTGCTCTGTGTAGAAGTGCCAGTCTCGTACCCATCTAAAACTTGGTTTTTTTGCTGATTACACATAATGTAAATATGTCTTCTTATATTTAAGAACTACATAAGATGTTTAAACAAGAGTCTGACATGAAAACCCACAGCTTCTATTCACACTGCGGGCTAATCACCCCAGAATGACTAAAATGTTAGAGAGTGCTAGAGCTGCAGGAAGGATTAATGATACAATCCAGACCTCGAGTTGAAATGTTTTCAAAGACAATTCTTATCTCAAAGAATCCTTGCAGGCATTTGGCCTTCTCAATTACGCACTGTAAGTCTGCAGCAACTCTCTACCACG